AAGAGAGATAGAAGAGACCGTCTCAGTGAGTAAGAGGAGGAGGACGGAATGAAGGAGGAATAAGGAAATCATCTGTTAATAGTAAATGTTTTTGCCAAGACGCTATGGTACATGCATAGTGTACATGTACTATATGTTGAGCAATGGGTATAAGAAGTATTAACTGTGTGTTGTTTCACAATTGATGTACATGTACATGTTTGTGTTGTGTAATAATGTGTTTTCTTTGACTTTTGAGAGAGATGACGTTGAGATAAGTACAATAACAAGCTCAGTTATGTTATGAGTAGGTTTGTGTGTGTGTGTGTTTTTAGTAAGTGAAATTTTACATAATCAGAATGTTTGTGTTGCAGTAAGACCTAAAAGTATATAGTAGATGTAGAAAGTAATTAATTTTTATAACATGGGAATTAATTAATGGTTTTTGTTTGGGCATATTTCCAAGTTTCATTCATTACAAAATCAGGTCATATTATCTTGTGCTGTATAGAAAGTTACTATAGTACAGGGTATTTTTTGTCAAAAATGGCGGGATATGAATTCTTCATTTTAATAATTTATTTTAATGCATGTACATGTTCCTATTTTGTCTGAAAAATTTGATCAAAATTAATATTTTAATAAAATTTTAAAGATAGTCAAAAAGTTGACCCATGACCACGGCTGTAGTACAGAGAATTTTTTCAAAAATACCTAGAAAAAAATTTCATTTTAATAATTTTTTTCTGATGCACATACATGTTCTGATACTGTAATTTGAGCTAATTTTGATCAAATTAAATTTTTTAATGAATTAAAAGTTATTCTAAAATTGGGCCGAAGTTCCTGTACAGAAAATTTGGCCATCTTTTGTCAAAATAAGAATTCTTCATTTTTTAATTTTTTTCTTATACATATACATGTTTTTATGTGGTGTAGCAAGTTTAAGTTAATTCCAATTAAATTTAATTAAAAAAATTTTTTTAATTACTCAAAAATTTAGCCAAAGTCCTTGTACAGAATATTGGCCAAATTTTGTCAAAAATGGCTAGGAGAGAATTTCCATTTTTATAATTTTTATGATACGTATACATGTTCTTATGTTGTGTAGCAAGTTTGAGCTGATTTTGATCAAATATGAATTTTTTATGAATTTTTAAAGTTACTCAAAAAAAATTGGACTAAAGTCCCTATACTATAGTACAGGGTCCCAAGCCAAATTTTGTCAAAAATGGCTAGGAGAGAATTTTCTATTTTTATAATTTTTTCTGATACGTATACATGTTTTTATGTTGTATAGCAAGTTTGAGCTGATTCCGATCAAATTTAGATTTTTTTATGAATTTTTAAAGTTACTCAAAAATCGGGCTAAAGTCCCTGTACTATAGTACAGGGTCCCAAGCCAAATTTTGTCAAAATGACTAGGAGAGATTTTTCAATTTTTATAATTTATTTCAATTTATATACATGCTTTTATGTTGTGTAGGAAGTTTGAGCTGATTCTGATCAAATTTAATTTTTTTATAAATTTTTAAAGTTGCTCAAAAATCTAGCCTGAGACTATGAGCTATCGTATGATGGCTCCTAGAGTCAATAGATCTTGTTACATTCATGTTGCTATTCATGCTCTGTACATAGAAGCATTTGTAGCAAGGGCACAGTACATGATGTCAGTTATGTGAGAAATGACATGACACAATCTGTAAACACGAAGTCACATGCACACAGCATGCGTGTACTTAAAGCTCTCCTTGCATTATGTTTTATAGTGTTATACAAATAAGTCAGCCTGTCTTTCCTGTTTTGGGATGTTTTTCATCATGCACTGTTAATGTCAGCCCTTGTGTGGATAATAATTGTATAAACTGTTTGGACCTCAGAGACACATATGTACAAACACATTTAAACCCTTTTATCTTTATTTACTTTTGCTATACCCATTTGACTAATATACATAATACACTTTTCGTTACAATGTACATGTACATGTACTCTTTCTGTTTTAATTTTCTCTTTCTCCTTCTCTCCCTCTCTCTCTCTCTTCTCTAGAATATGAAGCAATGACAGCTTCACTAACAGTAGAAGTCACAGAGGCTAATGATCTATATACAACCGTTGATACAGCTAAGGAGGACCCACTGTATGCTAATGTTGAACAGAAGGGAGCTAATGGAGTGGCAGGAGCTCCTCCAGCATTTGATCCTCGCATTCCCAATACTTGTTCTGTGTCTATTAGTGATCTTGGTACTCATGTTGCCAGCTATCATAGTGACAATAACACTGCTTTCAATCAGCAATACCAGGTAGAAATAAAAATATATAATTTATAATACATACATGTATCATTAAGCTATGTAAAGTAACAAAATTAGCTACAAAAATTAGTTAAAAATTATACCTGGGGGATTTTGTGGATCTAAAAATTTAGTATTAAACATGCCAGCTTTTATGAATTTTTATGTCAACATTAAACTGAATACCAGTAGCCTGTATATACAATTATGATAATTTACACATGTACCTTCATTTTCATTAGGAACTTTACACAGGTGAAGATTTGCCTACTACTGTTGGCTTTAGCGAGCAAAATAAGCCATTTAACAGGTTTAAAAACATAGCACCATGTAAGATGAATAACAATGAATCTACTAAGTGTGATTTCTATCTCTCTCTCTCATTCATAGATGATGAGCATATGATTGTGCTCCAGAAAAAGCCAAATATGGAGTTGTGTGAAAGGGAATATATTAATGCCACATACATTGATGTGAGTCTTCATGGAAAATTATTAATACACTGTTACATGTAATATATGATTTTATATTCATATAGGGATACAGTAGTGCTAATAAGTTTATAGCAGCTCAAGGTAATATGCTGTATTGATGCTAATAAGTGATTATTGGTGTCCTCTATTCAGGTCCAATGAAGAAGACATTAGTTGATTTCTGGCGTCTTATCTGGCAGGAGAAGCCAGTGTCTATTGTAATGGTAACCAACCTGAAGGAAGGAACTAAGAGCAAGTGTGAGCAGTACTGGCCTAATGGTAGAGCCGAGAGTGAAGAATTTGGACCTTTCTCTGTCACACTTGTTGACGAACAGGTCTTACCTGATTTTGTTATAAGAAGCATCACTGTAAT